GGGGGGGGGGGGTGAGGGGAAAGGGGAAAAATTAAAATTAAATTAAATTTTCTGCCTTTAGGATGGGGGCTTATTCGAGGTGGGCGCTAATTCGAGGTTGGGCGCTTATTCGAATAAATACGGTATCAGTTAATGTGCCACCGGGTCATCAGGGTCACAGGAAAAAGTCAGAAAGTAGCATTTTGTGTTTGGAAAACTTTGTTGCTTTCATTAATATCAAAGATCGTATTTAGTAAAATTAATAGAATACCACTTAACTGTTAACTTTTCATTTATCAGTTATTAATAACTACTATTTTTTTGGCCAATTATCAGTTAACTACTGTTTTTTCGGCCAAATATCAGTTAACTGCTGACCCCATTGGCACCCTCTTATTATGCTGTGTCATTAGCTTATTATTCGCACTTTCTTAAGACTGTAGAATGCCTGAGCTTTAATAAACCAGCCCCACCCCTCACAAACTTTCTCCTCCCTTTCTCCTTTGTGACGTGCTCAGGGTTACAGGGATAAAAGTTTTAAGGAAGGCCAATATATGTGCTATGTCATAACATGACATAGCAGAAACTAAGAGAGGATTAGAAAAAACTTGAGGGTTCAGAGGCCCAAATTAAACAATTGACGCAATGCAAGCGGCCTGGTTTGCTTTAGCCCGACTAGTTCAATCGATAAAACCGATAATCGACAACAATTGATAAAATTGAAAAAAAATAGTTAATTGTATCGGAAATCGATAAAAATCGATAAAGGGATACATTGTGAGTAATCGATGGTTATCAATTTTAAAATTATTGTTAATGATTTTATCGAACTTATGAAATTTATCGGCGCAATACGTTTCCACGTATTTAAGGGCAGCGAAGCATCAGAACTTCTCGAAAACCAGTCTAACAAAAATATTACTCCAGTAGGATAAGTTTAAAGATTTATTTTACAAATCAAATATTAAACAAATACGTGACATGATCGGTATTATACTTAACATGATTCAGCGGAGAAACAAAACGTAACAACTTCTTCTTGCATTTTACTTAGAAACTATTCAAGTTAAACAACGTTAAGACATTGTACGACGGTAGTACTGTGGACGTACAATTCCAGACTATGAGCGAGCGAGAAGGTCTTTCAGATAAAACAGATGTAAGCCCACGCATCGGCAAAAAACACAGCTTGTTTTTTAAACGCTGTCTCGGAAGAACCGGTTTACACGGTCCTTAATGAAAAAGATAATATCGATAAATCGATAAATTCAATACCTTAAAAAAGCAGCGATGGTTGTGAGTATCGATTTCTATCGATTGATCGATAAAATCGACAACGTTTAAATTTGAATTATCGATAGTTATCGATTTATCGAACGGTTTTCCGATATCGGTTTTTATCGATTGAACAAGTCAGGGCTTTAGTCAAGAGCCGGATTTTCGGTGCCAGCGTTCAGTAACTGATTAGTCAAAAAATCTTACGAGTCATAATCGGTTAAAATGTACAAAACGTGGTCACAAAAAATCAAGGCTAAAGCAAAAATTGGGTAAACGTGCGACTCCTTAGTAAACAGGCAGTGCGGGTGGCTTTGATGTCATTAGGGATGACCTTCTCCTTTACTTCTGAAGTTCAGATTACTAAAAATTATTGTAAAAACACAATGAAAATACACTGAGGTTACTTAAGCACGAGCCGAAGGCGAGTGATTTACAAGCTTTTCGAGTGTTCTCCCAACATCCCAAGTGGGTTATCACGCCGGTAAACCCATAGAAAGTGTGGTCTATTGCTTTTATAAAATAACTTCTAGAAGAATGGAGTGTTTTAGGTAAAAAATATGGTTCTAATACCGTGATCAAGTCACGTCTTCTCTCTAAAGTCATCATAAGCCAATCATGACTCACGATTTAATAGCGTTGAACTTTCTCAAAACTCAGTTCAGTCAAACAACAAACAACAGCACTTCAAAACACGAGTTTTTGCACTCATTACATGATAACTTATGAAAGTTGTTTTACAGGAAAAGTCAACACATATTCATGCGAACATACAATGAAAGAATACGTTCATGGTTTGTTTACTACAGAAGTAGAAATTAATTGAACATCAGACTGTACGCAGCTGTATTTTGTTGAGTCGATCCGTAAGAATTTCATTGTTACAGACGGAACTGACAGCTATTGTAATGGAGGACTTCATTCACATTTTACAAGCTGCAGTGGTTTGAGATCTGTTTTCTGGACTATTATGATCAAGAAATGCTNACAGCTTGTTTTTTAAACGCTGTCTCGGAAGAACCGGTTTACACGGTCCTTAATGAAAAAGATAATATCGATAAATCGATAAATTCAATACCTTAAAAAAGCAGCGATGGTTGTGAGTATCGATTTCTATCGATTGATCGATAAAATCGACAACGTTTAAATTTGAATTATCGATAGTTATCGATTTATCGAACGGTTTTCCGATATCGGTTTTTATCGATTGAACAAGTCAGGGCTTTAGTCAAGAGCCGGATTTTCGGTGCCAGCGTTCAGTAACTGATTAGTCAAAAAATCTTACGAGTCATAATCGGTTAAAATGTACAAAACGTGGTCACAAAAAATCAAGGCTAAAGCAAAAATTGGGTAAACGTGCGACTCCTTAGTAAACAGGCAGTGTGGGTGGCTTTGATGTCATTAGGGATGACCTTCTCCTTTACTTCTGAAGTTCAGATTACTAAAAATTATTGTAAAAACACAATGAAAATACACTGAGGTTACATTGGTATAAAGTATATAGTGCTAACAAAAGGTCATATTAGAATTTTCGCAAAGAAAACTGAACCAGAGCGTACTGAGAAAAGATTGAATCAAATCAAGCAAGCGTCGTTAGCAGCAATTTGAACTGACCATTTTCTCTTAGAATAACAGCGTGAACTTCAATTCATTCAAATTATGACACTGCCCCCACCCAAGGGTGGTGAAATATATTTAGTCGTTTAGACTGATTTTTTTTTATCAGAAAAAAATGACTAAAAGCGTACTGTAAGCAAATCCTGCTTTGAAAGCGCTGGGTAGATGAAGTGGGGAGGGAATAGGAGGTAGCTTAAGGCATGTTAAAGTGACCTTTTTAGTGTTGGAACCGCCACTTGTGCGGTGTAATCTCGCCATTAGCACTCGGCTTTGGATTGTGGACAGTCCTTCAAGAATTTTTTGTTGTAATCTTCTCTTAGCTTCCAACGCTTACACACAGGGAAACAAAGGGAAAAACTGACAAGTGCATCATAGTGCTATTGCATTTCGTAAACATTCACTTTGTATAGACCGGTGGAATTGCAGTCATGGAATTTAGCTTACTTCTTCTTGATCGAGCAAAATATTTGGAGCACATTTTGAGAAAAGGGAATAACCAATATCAGCAATATCAGACAATAGTTTCTGCAACTCTTGACACTTCACGGGCAAAGAAAAATAGTACATCACGGGAACATTGAATTAAAGCGAAAAGTTACAGTGAAACATTTAACATGCAGTTGGAGAAGTTGTCTATGGAGGAAAAGGGAAAGAAAAGGGGGTAAGGTAAGTATATGCAAAAATTCCCATTATTTTTTTTAGACAGATACTTGATACAGATACTTAATAAAATATATAAGTGCAGGGAAGATGTTTGTCAAAAGAGGGGGAGAAATACTTGGAGGGAAAAGGGGCCTGAGGGAGTTCACGTAAGTTCTACCTTCTTTCTTTCTTTGGTCATTTTTCTGTAAAATCAGAATGATTTACTGCAATACTTAGGCCAATTCTCCGACGAGTGTTTCCCCCCCTTACTCGACCCTAACTTCAGGACTGTGATAAATTTTGTCCATTTTTGGTAATTTGGTGCTTTACTGCTTTATCATCTGTCCACGCAACAGAAATGATGCCTTCACGTAAAGACAATGTGTATATTATTCGCATGAAAGGGAGCATGTCCTCAGTCAAGCCAAGATGGTGGGAGTGCAACACCTTCCTTTTGTCCTCTACGCGGTATGCACTGCTGTGCTTCTTGCTCAAGGAAGTCAAGGTACCATGAAGTATTTCCTTATTGAAATGTTTTAAGAATATGCTTTTAAATGCTGATATTTGATGGTCATTTTATGCGGTAAAATTCATGAAAGATACATTTCAAGAAAGGACGCAGGAATCGGGGGTGGGGCGCGCAAGGAAAGCGCAAGTTACGAAACTATGTTCAAGGCCATTGCGTAGAAGGCGTTTTGAAATTATTTAAAATATATATTGCAGGTACCGTAAATAGCCCAGAGGCAACTGGGCTGACTTTTGCTAAGACTCTTTTCTTCTCTTATAGCAATCAGTTTCACAGCTGGAAAAACCAACGCCACTGTCAAAAGTCGAGGGTTGTTCACTTGTGAGACAATCACATTTGGTGAACCGTTCTATGGTGGAAAGCAAATAAAAGTCTTTGCTTCCTTTGGTCACTCTGTTAAAAAAAAGGCCCGTGGTAATGGCGCTGCTATTTGGGTAGAATCAGTAGATAGAGCTCAATTCCGCGCTTGTATCTACGAGTACAACATCGGCTCAAATTCAACTGCTGAGATAAACTGGATTGCCCTACAATCTGCTCCCAAAGGAGCACAACTAGGAACCACTTCCCTGGACTCTTGGACTACCGGAACTGAATGTAAAAAGATCGACTTTCCTCAGGTACGTTCCATTTTGCTATGATTACCTACAAGCTAGGTGCCCATGGAGGATTAATTTAAAAAAGGCAGAAACTGGTGACTTATGTAAGGTATTAGTTAAAGGATGTAACTCACGACCCCAAATGCGATTCCTCTTAAGGAACTTAACCAGCTGTTCCATCAATAAATTTAGGCAGAAAATTGACGTCACTTAAGTTTCAAGTTCAATAACCTATATACAATGTACATGCTATTATGCACGGACTTCATGTTTTAACACGAACTGAGGATAAAAGTATAAAAGGTGAATCGTTAGTTAATGTTTTAATTTGAGAACGATTAATACAATGAAACAGCTTACTTTGTACTGTGATCTTTTGTTGCGCGGCTCTCCCTCTTTGTTTTCCTGTATTTGGTTTGGCTGGTTTTTTTTTTTTGGAATGCGCATCATTATAGCTATGACAGATGTCCACTCCATGACCCACACTAGCCCACTCATATATTGTGAAGTATTTTGAAGGTTATTTTTTAAAGTTTATTTCGTGTTTGTGCTTGACGTTTCACTTCTGACTAGAGTCTTGTTATGATCAGTTTATAGATCAAGGTTAATCCGTATGTGTTAACAGGTTTTCAAATTCTATTCTTGGGTTGCACGTGACGTCACCAAAAATCAAACTAAGAAAGTATCGATTCTTCTGAGTTTCTACTTTCACGAGGTATTACAGCACCTAAACACCTTTAAATAAACAAATTTTTGGTTCGAAAGGGTTGTTCGTTTTGCGAGAGAGGACGCTTAAATTTCCAGGCTTTTGCGTGACGCGGCATTTAGCTGGCGGCCGGGAAAGCTCTTATGTGGGTTAAAAACATTACCGATTTTGGGAGATTTTGCCATCTAACCATTCCTTGTCTCAGAATAAATATTACTGTAATCTTTATGTGTTCCTCAAGCGAAGAATTCACGCATAAGTGGGAAAAGTCGAAAACAGATCAGTTTCTGTTGGTATCCGGCGGCCATATTGGTGTTCCTGAAAGGGACACCAACATGGCGTTTCCATACAAAGCTTTTTTAAATTTAGGTAAACCGTTTTTCCCAATATCTCGCATTTGAAATATTTCACAGACCTGATTCTAGGCAAGGGTTTTTGTATATTTATCTTTTTTCATTTTCCAGATTCTAGTCCTTCTGTATTGAATGGTTTCCATTTTTATTTTACGTGACAGTGCAAGCCGAGAATTATCTTTTAAAGTAGTTTTTCAACATGACTGTCATTTATTAAATTTGATTGTGAGTCCTTGAAGAGGGCACGGTTTGGAACCGTCGCTGACCTTGATTGTTACCTACATCAGAGTTCCTGTTTTGGTTTAAGGTAGAGTCTCGTGGAGTTTGGTTTTCTTATGGGTTTGCTTATTCCACTTTAGTTATCAACAGGAAATTCGCTTAAGTCACTCAGAAAGGCGTTTGTAACCCTCATGGTCAGCAAGCCTAAACGTACCTACGTTTTACTTATACAAGTTGCCAGTGTTTAGCACAAGGGAGAGAGTAGTTGAGATTAGTTACAGTTAGTTGTCTAGCAGAATTCGTTAAGTGATGCTGTAAACAAGACTTAAGAGCTCCTGTAAAGATTAAAGAACAACAAGATGTAAACTCAGACACCTGGTACCTCTACGCTCAGCGAGTGAATTGCTTGTAAACCCCCTACACATATTATCACCTACACCCACTCCCCGACCTCAAACCCTCTCACTCTTTCATCCGTATTTGATTAACATTACATTCTCATATTTTCGAGTCGAAAAGCAATAAAACGTTGGCATTAGAAGTCAGGCTTACGCTCGCCGCCGTAAATCTATTTAGAGAATCTTTCATGAAATATAATCATTAAAGACGGTACACAAACTTAAATCAAATTATTTAGGAAAGATATTAGAAGATATAACTTGTATTTTTGGCCAAATTTGTTTTGCAGTTTAAATAACTTTACACATAGTAATTATATTTTACT